AAAAGTTTTATTAAATTTTATGTTTGGAAAAACTCGCTATCTGAAAAACAAGATGCTTGGTAAAGATACATTAGATCCCTTGTTGATGTTCTTGGGTTTAGTTGCATCAAGACTCAGGATAGAATATGCATATTACAAACTTGTAGGGTGTTTACCAATGTTTGTGAATACTTGGGCCATAAATGGAGTGTTAGGTGAAGTCAATGAAAATTATGATTTGTTGTTGGCTTTCTAAAGTGATTTTGTCATTATATTTGTTTGGGTTGTTTGGTTATTGTATTTCTTGTTACTATTAATACTGATTTTGTTGGTATTATTATTATTTTTATTATTTATAGATGTTTTGTAATTGAGACTGAAGATTGTGAAATGTAGATTGCAGTAGTAACACATTATGCTATTACCTATATGTTGTAAATAAAGGTGATTTCTCTCTCTCTCTCTCGTATTCAGATCATCAGCTCAGCTCCAACAATGAACTGTTCCATTTATACATTTTTCATATATCTATGAGAAGTGTTATACATGGACGCGCATGAGGTTGCCGTACTGTGTTAAAGCTTTAATCAGATATTAAAAGCTAACAGAAGCAGTAGCATTCACAAATAGCAGCGTATCTAAAAGTATGAGACAACAACAAACAAAAAAAAAACATACCATTAAGAGCCGTGCTTGCACAGGTTCTGCGCGATCCTCTTCACTAATATTCTCTTAGTCTCAATTGGGCTCAAATTGATAAGCAATATAGTTGACGTCATTGTTTACAATACAACACCGGAGCACATGCCACTGAAGTGAGGCGGTTTAGCCAATAACAACACACTGGACCAGCTAACCAATCTGAGCCCATTGCGTATTTCTGAGGTAGGGGCTTCATAAAACCAGGAAATGATCAGCATAGGAGAAGGGACAGAGTGGTGTGGAATAAAGGTAAATTATGTGAAAAATAATAGTTTTTTTTTTTTTTTTTTTTTTTTTTTTTTTTTTTTTTTTAAATGAAGCATTAACACGTAAGACTGCACACCATAAACGCAATCAAGCCTAGAAAAAAGTCAACCACCCCTTAAGTTCTTTTTGCAGTTGCTGTCATAGCAACAGGCCTGTTAGCTTAATCCTGCACAGGAACAGGCTTATTTCATAATTTAAAATAATTAAAATAGTTTATTAAAAAGTTAAAATAGTTCATTAAAATAGTTAGTTATAATAGTCAACAATGTTGTGTAATCCATAATAATTGTAACCAATGACCAATTTTACACATTGAAATGAGCTAAGGAATAATTCTCATAATTTAATTGCAGTCATACACACATTACATACAGTTTGACTGAGCCATGCATTAATTTTAATGGTGAGCTTTATTCAAGAGGCTTGATGCATCTCAGGAGATGCAGACCACTTTTCAAATCTCAAAATGTTTTTATGACGCACAGTTAATTAACAAAGTCAGTTATGTCTTAAGATGGATCTTATGGATTAAGAAACTTTAATTAATGTTGTCATGTATAACAAATCCACTTCAAAATTAAATGAATTGCCAATTATAATATTCTTTACATAAAAAAAATACAAAGCCTGTACAAATACTATAAATGGTGAAAAATAATTGGGAATCGTTTGAAAAACTGTTATTTTATTCTATTAATCGCTAGGCTATTTCCTTGAGCTTAATTGATGTCATTACGTCTTAAAGGGGTCATATGATGCGATTTCTATTTTTCCTTTTCTTTAGTGTGTTATGTAGCTATTTGTGCATGTATAAGATCTGCAGAGTTACAAAGCTCAAAGTCTCCCACAAAATGATTTATGCTATCTAAACGAGAAGGCTGATCTAAACCGGGCTAAAACGCCTCATTCGAACACACCCCAACATCTCTATGTCACTATGTGCAAATATTTGCGTAATGCCGCCCAAATGTTCATGCAAAGAAAGAAGGCGTGGTTTCAGGAACCGCAGTAGTGTTGATACAGCCATGTTAGGGAGACGCTGTGTGTTTCTGTGCGAAAGCAAAAGCACTTTATTTGGCCTTCTGAAAGTAGATGCAATGAGGAATCATTGGTTAAGATTTATTTACAACAGAACAGCACAACCCAGATTTTGTGCAATGCATTTTATGGACGACAGTTTTGTTAACCTAGGAGAGTAGCCTACAAGGCTGGCTGTGCAAAGGCTTGTACAAATGGGTAAATTCCGACTTTGCTATGACAATCTGGCGCTTATTCTCTATCAGCTACTGTAAGTATGTTTTCTTAATAGTTTAAGTATTTGCTATTGACTGTTCAAATGCGGAATTTTGCGCCGTGTAGAGTATCGCGTCATGTGTGTGTGCGTGAGAGAGAGACAGAGTCACATCACAGTGGAGTCAACTTTCTTAATCGCGGCTTGTGTACTGCAAATACATACGAGCATCATCACTGTGTCTGTCACGCGACTGTTCCACTTTCGGGCTTGAACTGATGGTAAAACTAAGGACATTATGTACTGTCTTTACATTTATGTTGAAAGCTGAAGCTCGTGATTATGGAAAGGGGCGTTACATTTCCGACGCGTGCTTGTGGTGTTCGGCTAATCACAATTCACTGGGTCAGCTGGCCAATCAGAGCAGACTGTGCTTGTCGGAAGGAGGGGCTTTGTAGAAAACGATGAGTTTGAGAGAGGCGGGGCATAGAGGAACTACAATAATGTACAGTATTTGAAAAATAATGTGTTTTTTGAACATTAAAGCATGTCAACATATTCTGTTACACCAAATACACAAAATAATGATCTTTAAAATAGCATCATATGACCCCTTTAACGCTGTCTCGCTGCTAGCCAAACTCTGCATTGCTGATAATGGTTTCGAGTATCAATATATCTGCCCTTTCAAATGAACATGTCAACATGGAGTAGGGCTGCTTAATTATGGTAAAAATCATAATCATGATTATTTTCGTCAATATTGTAATCACGATTATTTAACCCGATTATGAGTGAACCATATGACCAAAACTTTGAGTGATTTATTTAAAGATAGTGATATATCAAATACATATTTTCTGTAAATAAGGTTGGTATGACACATTTTAGAGACCAGCGAAATTTCACAATTCTCAATACCACAGCAGAATACTAGGGTATAATATTAGCTAGTAAAAAACAAACCAACAAAAAAAAGTCCTAAAAATTATTGAAAATAATTAACTGTCAGTAATAAAAAGCAAAGGACAAATACAATAGAATAAAAAGATACAAATGAAACAAACTGTGATTGAAGGTTTTTTTTTTTAAGGCTAATGCAAGTCTAAAGTAGGCTAGGCTATTCAGTTAACAGCCTACTACAGAAATGAATAATCAAATGTAAAAAAAAAAACAGCATAGTCTTCACTGTAATAATTAAACTTTCTTTGTTTCTTATTGAAGGTACAAAAGTCCTTCAGTCAAGAGCAGTGAGTGATTTTGTCTTTGTCTTTTGTTGTTTGATTAATATTAAGCACACAGTCGCAGCAGGAAAATAGCCCGCTGTCACTTTAAGAGCCACACGGATCCAATTTACCGTTACACGCGTATTTTCATTCTCAACTCTTTACGTTCATTTATTACATGACCGACGAAGGTATACATGAATAAATACTAAGCGCCGCATTTTGACACATTTTTGCGTGTATTTGACCGTTTAGGCGCTAAAAGATGACTTTGCATGTCCGTGTTCTGCGCCGTCTCTGAGCGCATATATCTTCCTGAGCAGCAGCGCGAGTTCTCTTTCATGCTTTTAAAAACATGAATAAATATACTTCTATAAATCAAGCACATCCCATTTTGCAAAAGTCACGTTACATGATTTACTGATTTGCACGTGAAACTGGGCTTTTATGGAGGAGCGAAAGAGCACCGCTGGAAAGCCCCGTGAAGCTGTGGTTTACAGTGAAGTTGTAACAGCTAAGGGGCGTTGTTAGGCACAATGTGAAGCGGAGTCTAAAACCCCCTTAGCTGTTATAAATTCACTGTAAACCACGGCTCCACGGGGCTAATTGCTTTAACTGCTTTATATAACTTATCCACCTTCTTCTTCCCACAAAAATGGGTAATTTGTAAATTCTATGGGTCTGGCTTCCGGTCTCATCCACGTCCAGCTATTTTTAGCTGTACAGAACCGCTCGTTTTGCTGCTTGACATTGAAAATTGGTGTGTTGTCTTATTTATGAACACACTGGTTTATAATGCAATAAACCTACAAAAGTCCTTCAGTCAAGAGCAGTGAGTGATTTTGAATTTGTCTTTTGTTGTTTGATTAATATAAAGCACACAGTCGGCAGCAGGAATATTAGCCCGCTGTCACTTTAAGAGCGCACGGATCCAACGAATGTATTTTCATTCTCAACTATTTAAGTTCATTTATTACATGACCGACAAGGGTTTACATGAATAATCACTAAGCGCCACATTTTGACACTATTTTACGTGTATATGACCGTTTAGGCGCGCACCTTGAGCTACAAGATGACTTTACCTGGCCATCTTTTGTTCCGTCTCTGAGCATTTTCCGTCCCATTTTGCAGAAGTTACATGATTTTACTGATTTACAATTGGGAAAATTGTAATTGCAAATGATTGTGAAATTGGGCTTTTAATGGAGGAACGAAAGCGCACCGCTCGGAATGGGGGCGCAATAATCGTGTTATCTCGATTATTGTATTTTCATAATCGTTGGAGGCCAAAATCGAAATCAAAACTGTATTTCGATTAATTGCACAGCCCTAATATGGAGTAATCGCAGGGCCTGTTCACACCTGACATCTGGTCACTTTATGGGTTTTCTCTTATCGGTTATGGACTTGTTTACATGCTACACTTTTATGGGCATGTTTACATGGTGCACTTCATCACACAACCTCCGACAGCCAATAGGATTGGCATGATTTAACATGTTTAGACACTGGCACATGATGAAGGCATTCTCATAGTGTTATGTTTGCATCAATATGCCCTAATAACACATGTTATTTCTATTTTGTTCTAGAGCGTGCACAAGAAGAACCGGAGCCGTGACTGCACTGTTTTCACTGATTTACTCTGCACACTGCAACAACAACAACATACAACACGGGAGTGCACTCTAGTGGCCATCAGGTATTATAACATCAACTCAAATACATGACACATAGCATCTACGTTCAATAGCATCAAAGTTCCACTTCAGAAGGGAACGTTTAATGCAGCGCTGAGCTGATGTAGAGGTGCTGCCACAGAAATGTTAAAATCTTTTTCCATGCATCCTCTTGTGCGTATGCGTGCAGTTTGGTTTGTCCACCCCATAGCATGACAACTGCAGGAACAACAACAACATGCATTAACATGTAAAACACAATCACAAATAAAGTCTAAACTTAGAATTAGAACCATATAAAAAATTAAAAATAACATGAGACATCATGCATGCATACCTCTCTTTTTTTTTCCATAATAAATAGTAGTTTGTTGAATGAATGGTAGGCAAGTATGGAGGTTCAATCAGATGACCCGTGCCATGATATGTCAGGACTTCCATCAAGTGTCGATTTCCTGCTTTCTCCATCATCATTGCCATCTGGGTTTATAAACTCAATATCAGGGATCTAAGTAATGTCACAGTTTTTTTTTAAGCTGAATACTAAAAGAAATGAGCATACTAAATATAACTTATTTAGCGTGTAAATTTATTGAACAAGTAAGATATTACTTGTCACTGGTATTAGGACAGTCATTGCTCATAGAAATAATGTAGTGTTTACCTTCATGTGGTCTACTCTTCAGCATAATGTTAACCACAAAAACTTAAACAACAGAAACTCTTAAATGTCAAACATAACAGCTTTAAACACTAGCAGGTCTTTCCTTTCAGTAAAGAACACATATAATAACACTTAATTTCAACATTTATTCTCCTTATCCAGTCCTCTGCAAAGCATGCTGGGAACGAGAACGACAGCATAACTTCAGTGTGTGCTTATAATAAACAGAACAGCCCACTGCGGAGTCTCCCAATTAGCCACTCTGGGCCTAGAGTTTGAAACATTTACTACATTTCACACAACTGGTGTTATTTTCTAGCAGTTAGCATTAAATTAACATAAAATGAAACTATTTAAAATGTTTTTAGTTAGTAAATGTGGCATTATATAAATATTGTCAGCTCTGTGACTATTTGCTTTTTGTAAGTTGTAAGTTTTCTGTAAGTTGCTTAGGATAAAAGCATAATCTAAATTGGTGGTAGGCAAAAATAAATAAATGAATAAAATAAATAACATATATACTGCTACAGAAGGGTGAGCCTGATTTCACCAAGTACATGTTCCTAGAGACAGCAGTGTTTAGTAAATGCTCAAAGTGAGACTGAAAGATATAGTATATAACTCACATCTTCAGCAGATTCAACTGCAGGAAAAGTCTGATCATCATCACCATTCACCAACAGAAGAGGACACTTTATTCTCCCAACCTGTGAATTTTAACAAAAACAAACAGACAACCTCAGTGAAAAAAAAATACTAAAATGTATTTGAAATACATTTATTTTGTGTTAGGTTTACTACCAATATATTTACATATTTATGTGTGTCACAAGATCAGACAGGGATCAACAAGAAGTAAGTACACTCAACTGGGTTTATTTGCAGGTGTTCAAGAGACACAGTGAAGTATGCAATTGATGGATAACTTAACTCTAAATGACTTTCTTTCTTATTGCAAGAACACCTGGATGATGCAGACAAGACAGGACAGGCAGGGATGTAGAAGGATGTAAGGCAGGTAATCATAGATGAGAGTCAGGTAAGTAGTTCTCAGGGAACGACGAGACCAGACAATGGTGAGATGGAAAGTGACTGCTTAAATACGGTGTGGGTGGTTAAAATTCCAGTGACTCTGATCTGGTGGGAGGAGCTGAGAAATCTGCTGCAGATGATGGAACTGACTCTATGACAGTAACCCCCTCCACAGGCAGCTCCCAATGACCGCAGCGGTGGACAACAACGTAGAAGGCCCCTGCCTCTGGGTGCCGGGTGACTGGGATTGTTGGTATGGAATTTTGTTAACAGGGCTGGATCGAAGATGTCATCACAAGCAACCCAGGAATGTTCCTCTGGGCTGTAACCCTTCCTGACCAGGGAAACAGGGATGGCTGTTAACCAAGGATGAATTGGAACGGCGTCTGACCAGTGGTAGCTTGGCGTAGGGAGTTCTGGGCATACTCAGCCCAAGGACGGTAATGACTCCAGCTCTGTTGGCGATCATGACAATATGACCTTGGGCAATATGCCCCTGTGGATGGTATTCTGAAGATAAACTGACTGTGATGCCTAAGAGTTGGAAGAAGGCTTGCCACACTCTGGATATAGACTGGGGACTGTGGTCGATGTCTTGTAATTCCAAAATGCCTGAAGATGTTTTGGAATAGGACTTCTGCTGTTTCTAAGACGGTAGGCAAACCCTTGAGCGGGATCAATTTGCAGACCTTGAAAAAGTGATCGGCGGCCACCAGGACACAGGTACGGGATACTGAAGGTGGCAGATCCGAGAGGAAGAGGTCTGCTGGCTGCCTGGGTGTTCAGAGCCCAGAGATGTGTGGACTAAGTCCATGAGGCACAGGCGAAGAGCTGATGGATCACAGAGCCATCCCTCAGAACCTCCCTGCGGAGCAGGTTCAGAGCGCATGACCTCTGCAATTCGATCATCAATGGCCCACTGGTTGGGACTGACGATAATGACTGGACGGAGAATGGGTTCTAACACTGATAGACTGGGGTCAGTATTGTATATACAGGATAGAGCATAGATTTTCTGGTTCTGATGCCCGGGACGGTAAGTTACAGTGAACTTGATGGCCAGGAGTTCTCAGTTGCCAATATCGTAGATGCACTCTGCCGGGGACAGTTTCCTTGAGAAGATGTGCCAGAGTAGGAGCTGAACAAAAAGCCTCTTTGAGTTCCTTGAAGGAAGAGAATGCACTGATGTCACATGGACGATTATAACGATGTCCTTACTATGTTCCTGGACCATGAACGTGGTAATTCTGTTGCTGTCTATTTAGGGACAGAAAGCTCTTGGATTTCATCAAAAATATCTTAATTTGTGTTCTTAAGATGAATGAAGGTCTTACGGGTTTGGAACAACATGAGGGTGAGTGATGACAGAATTTTCATTTTTGGGTGAACTAACCCTTTAAAGGGTCATATGATGTTGCTAAAAAGAACATTGTTTTGTCATTATTTTTGGACACAAAGCAACATTTTCTGACAAGCACTCTCTGTCTGCTGTGTGCTCACCTGTGTTTATTTTTTTCCAAATTCCGTTTTTTCCGTTTTAATTTTTCTGGACTCCTTTTTAATGGTCAAATTAAATTTTATTATTCAAAAAGAATGTCTAATTATTTAAAATCATGAAACGTAAACAATTTCACATCAATTTATTAAAAGTAAAAAAAAAAAACTACATGCTTAAAAAATACAAAAAATTCATAGCATGTATTTCTCTCACCATATGTTTGTGATATGTTTTTGATTATTTAGAAGCTTTGTTGGATTTTCTAGTTGGAGGCGGCGTTTCTGTTTAAATGAGCGGTCAGACAGAAATGAGAGAAGTGTGCCGGCGTGCTGGTTAAGCTCCGTGAACATGGCTTCCAAACTACGCTTCCTAGTTCCCTATCGATACTTCACTCGTACTGCGTCTGCTAAGACGCTATGGGAAAAAGCCCTTTTTTCTCCTGAACTGAAGCCTTTTTCAATAACGCAGTGTAAAAAAACGAACCAATGGCTCGGCAGCGGTGCTGCATGAACCTATGGCCACAAAGCCCACCAGAATGGGCGGGGCCATCTGGTTATATAAGTGGTCGCTTCGCCATAGGATTCAGATTTCTTCTCCTTCAGCGATGACGACGTTCTTTGCTGATCTCCGCTGACTGAAGAGCCTGCTCGCCGTTGACACACCTCGCAATGGAACAGCGTCCTTTCTGCTCGGCTGATTCGCCGCCTCTCCCGCCATCTTCAGCCTCGCACAGCAGTGGTCCAGTTTCCCCTGTCGCCAGCAAAGAGCAAATTTTCGCGGCGTTGTTTCAAATGCTGTGCCGTTATTGCGGTACGTGCAGGTTTCTCCTGCACGCTGATGACGGCCACCGTGAGTGCGTTTCCTGCTTGGGGAAATCCCACGCGGAATACACGCTCACCGAGACGGTTTGTTCCAATTCTGAAAACATGAGTCTCGCCTCTCTGCGCTCTGCTTTCTTCACAGCGCTCGGATGCGAGCGAGCTCACCGCGTGCCTCGCTCTCTCCACACAGTGAGGCTTCCCCCGTCCTCTTCACCCAGCCTGACCAGCATCCCTCTGCCAGTGCGAGCGATCTGGTCTCGTTTGGTGGGAGTGATGACGAGCTGCTGGATGACAGCATGTCATTAGCAGCCTCTGATGCAGAGGAGCTGTCGGGCTCGAATGCCGCCCCCGCCCCCCTGCCATCCTGAGCCCAGCGACGTTAAGCCCGGGATGGACGCTGAATTATTCCGTTTATTATTATTTATTACAGCCAACGAGTATCCTTCCTTGGAACAGTGTTCGACTCAACCCAAATGAGAGCGGTGGTAACGACAGAGTGCTCTGGTCATACAGCAGCTCGCGGCTTCCTTCAAGGCCGGTGCCTCTTGCCCCCTAAAGATGTTTCAAAAGATGCTGGGCCTTATGGCCGCAGCATCTTCAGTGCTACAGTTGGGCCTGCTTCATATGCGTCCCCTTCAGTACTGGCTGAAACCGCGGGTTCCATTCCATGCGTGGTGTCACGGACACCTGCATATTAGGGTAGACTGTAGAAGATGTTCAGTTATCTTAATTCAATATAATACATATAATTATGCCTATAGATAAGAATACATTATTGTACTATCAATATAATACATATAATTATGCCTATAGATAAGAATACATTATTGTTACTATCAATATAATACATATAATTATGCCTATAGATAAGAAGACATTATTCTACTATTATTATTTATAGAGACTGTGAGTAACTGTGTGTTAAAGGTTGCAGTGAAAGAACAGAGTGAACTATTTAAAACTTGAAGACCCTGCATATATGGAAAGAATCTGTTCAAGACCTAGAAA